GCTAGAAGCCCAGACAGTGCCCCCTTCACCAGTGGAGAGCTCGGCTTCCGTCACTGAACCGCTGACTCGCAGCCCTGGCTTCTGTTTTGACATTTGATTCCTGTGGCTGACCTCTGGTTTTCTTCTCTTTCTTCCCCTCTTTCTGGAGTCCTTTTGTTGCAGTGAGTTCACATCATGTCTTGGTCATTTCATACCCATAGAAGAAACCCTTGCTGCATTTTCTTTTCATTTTTTGCCAGACTCAAGTGCTTTTAATGCAGAATTGCCAACCAGGAGGAGCAAATTCCATGTCCTCTTGTATATATGTATCTGTATAATCTCTATGTGTCCCATTCTTAGAATTGCTTTGCTGGTGCTGGTTTCCCCCTCCGTGCTTCCTGGAGCTGGTTTCCAGGGTGTGACCACTGCCTGGGGGAAGGATGTTGCTTTCGGATTAGCTTGTTAACCCTGAGCCTTTTGACCTTCCGTGTCTTATTCTACATGGTTAGTTAGATTTATTCCCTCAGTTTCTTCATTGGATTTACTGTATGTCATTAGGTTTGTAAATAGCTATTAATTCTGTGTTTATGACCACAAAGAGGGTTTATAGAGCAGCTACCGAAGCAGTTTTACCTGCAGCGAGGCACAGCAGTGCTGATTTGTACCTGTGCTCCCGCGGCAGCACCGTGTTCCTGGTGACCGCAGGGCTGCTCCCGTCTGCTTGGAGCACCTCACCTGCACCCTGGCCTGGGTGAGGTGCTTTGATCGCTGTGGGTCTCTCTCACGCCTTGCAGAAATGCCTGCCTTCGTGACACAGTTATGACAGAAGGCAGGCAGCTGGCGGAGTGCGTAGGTGCTTTCCTTTGGTGCTTTTTCTCTGTGTTTGGCACTTTAGTTATTTGACATCAACAGCCTCCTTAATGTTTCATAATACATAAAAATAAAAATTGTCTGCCCTGAAGTTCTCACGGTCCAAAGACACAAGGCATAGAGAGAAGTACAGATGTTGAGAGCTTTTGTATCTGGCCTCATTCATTTGCTTTTAGATAGATTTGATTGATTTTACTTCTACCTTCTGTAGAGTTACTTTCTGAGAAGAAATATCACTGGAGCATAATGACTGTATTGGATATGCCGAGCTGAACAACTGCCCCTAAGAATATGCCATGATCTCAGCTGTGAAACAGGCTGCATTGTTCGTCCTGCCGTATTGAGCAGCGCGTGGAGCTGCCCGTGCCAACGGGCAGCTGCCAGCCGGACAGCTGGCTACTGTGGATAGCTGCCCTCAGTTGCCTGAGAGGATCYTGTTTTCCACATTAGGAACTCAGTTATTTGAAGGGCCCAATTTCCAAACAGGGCCAGTGACTTGTGAATGGATGGAAAAGGTTGGACTCCTCCTCTGCTTCAGACAGTGAATATTGCTCCGCGCAAGAGAGAAGGGAGCAGCTGAAACGCGATGGGCTCTTTTCTGTCTCGTCGCTAGAGTTATTCCTGTCGTCAGTACAAACGCAGTTTGTCAGTGTGGGCTGGTTCTGGCATCTCCTGAAATGACTTACGGGATGCAGGGACCSCTCAAATGTATATAAGAAATGTAAATGGCTATAGAAATGGCTGTAATAAATGGCTATAAGAAATACTGCTGTGTCTTGCTAGTTTTGTATGCAACTGTGTTGACCAACTTCGTGTTCTTATGTGAGGGGACTGAGTGAAGGGGAAGAGCGTGTGTGAGGAAGGGAGGGTTGTGTATTGCTAGCAGCGAAATGATTTTTTCTTTTCTGCAGGAAGTCACTTCAGGGCCCAACATAAATAGTGAAACCCTAGAAATTTCTCAGCCCGTGCCTTCGGCTGCTAACCGTGTCCCTGTGCTGCCACGCTGCTCTGCCCGTCGCTGTGGTCCCGCTGCACGCAGCAGCTCCTTGGGCTGCAGAAGTTAAACAGAGGAGGAAAAAAGCAGCAGCAGCGCCTGAATCATTTCATAAAGTCATCTCGATCTTATCTGCAGCCCTTTCCGCCCAAACCCACCAAAGTCTCCGCGGGGCTGGTGCCTATAAATAGCGCGGCTGCGCTCGTGTGGAGATGGGCAGCCGGAACCCGAGGCTTGTTTTCCGCCAGCTCGCCCAGCACCGGCCTCTCCCGTGTGAGTTGCACCGCTACAGGCTCCTGGAGAGAGAGGCTGGCAAGAGGCTGCCTTGGCACGGGGAGGGGCCAGGTGACCTGTGGGGTGTTGCCTTTGGGCTTAAAAAAGAAAAAAAAAAAAAAAAAAGGGAAAAAAAAAGATGCAGTTTTAAAGAGGAATGGAGGCGTGCGGGCGTCGTGCCGAGGTGAGTGAGCGCTGCAGTGCGAGGGCCGCGCTYGAGTCGCGGGGCTGGGTGAGAGCTGCTGCCGCCCGGGTGCCGAGCGTCCCCCAGGGCCCTTGGCTCGCCCGGAGTCTGGGCGCTTTGCCCCTGGGCACCTGCCACGGGAGCTTCCTGCCTCCCTTCGGGGCTTTGCAGATTCACTAGCTAGTTTTCCGTCTCACTTTTTAGTTATATGTCTGTTTGTCCAAGGAATGCAAAGGGATCCCACCGTGCTGCTGGCCTCATCTGGAAAATCTCTTGCCACTTTCCCACTTCCTTCCCCTCAGGCTAAAGCAAGTAGCAGAAGTGTCATCCCTCTGGCCAAGCAGTGTGCGTGCTGGAGCTTAGGTGCACGTGCCGGAGCTTCGAGGAGCTCGTCAGGCGGGCTGTACATACACCGAGATACAGGCTGCCCTGGAGCTGGCCCTGCAGTTTGTGCCATTCGGCTGCTGGGAATGGGAGACGCAGAGAGGGCCAGTGGTCTGGGGGATCTCGGCACTGTGTGCGCGCTCCCCAGGCCCAGGGGAGGGCCCCGACCCCTGACTGTGGCGTTAGGCTCTGCGGGGCACTGCCGGGGCAGGCRGGTTCTGCATCCTCTCTCACTGGGAAGCTTCGGGTTGAGATGGCCGCGGAGTCGCAGAYCCCGGCGCGGCACCGTGACCAGCTCCAGCTACCTCGCGGCCTGGGCTCTCAGCTCTCCGTGTCCTGTTYTACTTCTGGACACTAAAGCCACTCCTGGATGCCCTATATGGCTCCGAAGCGCATATTCCTAAAGCCCTGTCCCTGTTGCTGGGGCTCATGGAAAACGGATTCCAAAATGCCTGGAGAGTCACCTCTCCCAAGGTGTGGGAGCTAATGCAGGGAACGGTTGGTTTTGCTATGAGCTTGTTTTTCAGTCACACATTTTCTTACTCCCTTTTAATTCTTTTAAAGACGCTGTGAAATGTTGTGATTCCTGGTTGAACCACATGTATAAAGTTGGTGTTTGCCTGCGAACTGCTGGGCGAGACGGGAGGAGCGGGGTGAAACAGCAGTGTTTGGGGTTTGCTGTCCTTGGAAAGGGCTGAGTGTCCCGGGCTCCATGGTAAAGTAGATGCTTTTTTCTTGGAGATGTGGAACCTCCTGCTCTTTCCACCCACCAGAGGAAGGTACGTTTGGCTCCAGAGCTTTGCATCCATCCTTCTTTCAGAACGAGTGTCCCGTGCCCGTCCAGGCCCTGCTGTCTGTGAGGCCAGCGTGAAGATGCTCGACCAAGCAGGAGAGGCATGACCCGTCAGACGGATGTTTCTCCTTGTAATCAGTGCTTTCTTTCCAAGTGCTTTTTGAGGGAACTTGGAGCTTGGCAAGGAGCRGTGCGCGTGGAAAGTATTAAAATCTGCAGCTGTTTCAAAAAGGGAAAGACCCACATTAGAAATATATATAGCATTTTAAAAGCAAGTTTAGTGCCCTGGAAAGGATTTCTAAAACAACCTAAACCCTTTGGATCCGTAAGAGCATTTATTTTGTGCTCTGCAGTAGCCTGGCAGTGTGTGTAGTGCTGTGTTTGAGCTGATACTCATCGGTTGACCTCGTTCTGTTGTGAACCTGAGCTACGCTGAGACCTCTAGTATGTTAAAGCTGTCTCATTTTGCTGGCGTTGAGATACCACATAACCTGTCTTACAAGGTTGTCGGGCCGCTTGCTCCCTGTTTTTTAACTGTGTGTGTGTTTGTCCATGGGGTCCCTCCGTGGGGACAGGGTTTCTTGGGAGAAGAGGATTTTTCTTGAAATTCTGCACCATCACATATTGCCATTTAGTAATTCTTAGTACTATGTTCAGTTAGTAATTTGGGGTCGAACCCTTGGCTCCAGATCCTCTGCCCCTTGTCCATCCAAGCTGCAGCTTTTTGCCATGATCCTCCTGTAGCTGTTGGTGTTCAGGATCTGTCCTCAGCAGAAGTATTAATAACATATAGTTGACGAAATAGGATGAAGTGCGTGGGGATTAAATATATCCCCCGACGTATGCACAGTATGTGAGGGAGCATCTGGGACTGCGTATGCTGGTATGTCAATCTAGTCCTAAAGCAGTAAAAAAAAAAAAAGAAGAAAGAAGAAAGGCAGTGTGCGTAGACAGTTTTGGCACTGCAGCCCTGGGAATTGGCAGCCAGCCAGAGAGTACTGAGGCAGGGCCAAGACTATCTGAAGAAGACCAAATGCTGAAGTTGCAGTTAGTTCCTGCCTCGTCTGGCTTCACTTGTCACCCTGTGTGCCTGCCGCCCAGGTTTGTGCTGGGTAGATGCTGCTAAATTCCCAGGGCAGAACCGGAGAGCGGGGCTGGATGTGCTGGGAATCAAAGGCAGCTGAAGTGAGCGGCAGGATTGCCTGCGACCACAGGGACACCTCCGTGAGTTTAACTGTTAGGCTTCCTGCACCGTCCGTATGCTTTGCGAAGCTCCTTCAAACAGTTATTTATCTTATATCTTGCTAGCAGTGGAGATGAGGAGAAAACCCCAGCGTGGGTTGTGTGTTGCGGTGATTTAATCTTGATGAGTTTGCCTGCTTGTTTGAATGGATTTGTTAAGTGCTTCCAGCAGAGGGCACTCAGATTATTGTTCTCAAACTTCAGTCTTTTTTGATATGGGGAAGAGATTCCTGAAATGAAAATTCATACTTCATTCTTCTCCCTTGCTTGTTTTGCAGACTGTCATAAAAGAGGGGATGCTGATGAAGCAGACGAGCTCCTTCCAGCGCTGGAAGAGACGCTACTTCAAGCTGCGCGGACGGACGCTTTACTATGCAAAAACTGCCAAGGTAAGGACATGAGCCCGTGGAGGAGAGTCAGGTTTGGGTCATCAGAGGTACTTTGGCCTCTGAGAAGGCAGAGCTCAGTCCAGAAGAAAAGCAAATGCTCTGGAAGCTTCTGTCTTCAGGCTTTATCACTGTTAGATGTTCCCTGCGTTTTGCCTCGCGCTTTGAAATCGTTAATCTTTCAGTAAAACAYCGTGTCGCCCTGTGATGCTATTGTTCTATCCTTTTTTTCCCCCTTCCCAGTTTATAAGTCAGAACTACCCTACGTCAGGGCTAGTGCCTTGATGGACATCCCACTAGCCAGACTAGCTATCAGGCAGGCTCCTTTCACAAGAACCAAGCCTACAAAATTATTTTTAGAAATAGTCCCATAGTAAATATAAAATCACTGAGTTCCCCAACAGAAGGCAGAAGCAAATAGGAGTGCCAGGATACGGAACTAGGCTCCCAAGTCCTTCRTGCTGTTAGTGCTGAGCCCTTCCTTCAGATCACAGAAGGCTTTGCTGGAGCATGCTGCACAGACGCACCAATGTGTCCCTCAGGTCTGCTGCTTATACCCTGGTTTCACTAGTTCATTAGAGCTTTGATTTTTTCCTTTCCAGTCCATTATTTTTGATGAGGTGGATCTGACAGATGCCAGCGTGGCAGAATCCAGCACTAAGAATGTCAACAACAGCTTCACGGTAGGATTTACTTCCTTGTTTCCCATCCTTCTTGCATCTTTCTCATAATTCCCTTCTCCTTAGCTTGATTTTAAAACATCTAAGCAACCTTCATCACCTCTTTTTCTTGAGCAAACTTATTTCAATGTTTTTATTTTAAAAGACTGTTACAGTTTTGATTGAATATGCAAAGAGAATGACTGATAGCAAACTGTGTGTGCTTCGATTTGTGGCAGGAAGACATCAAATCAAAGAACTCTCCCATTTTGTCCTGCTTTGGGCTTGCTAGGGTCTTTGGAAGGATCATCAAAGTTGAAGCTTCCACTTCTAATCTGTGTGCAGCATTATGACTGAACTTCCACAAGTCAGCAAAGTCTTGAACATATGTTTCCCCACAGCAGTCGTAACTCCGTGCACATGGAAAATATGTTGGGTTGCTATATATGGTGCTAAAGCTTTGCCTTCAGGGATGTTCTTACCTATAAGCTAGTAGGTTTTGACAGAATCCATTTACATAGTAGTACAGAAAAATTTGTTCTGCAAAGGGAATTAGGGGTGATATATGTGATGATGTTAGAGGTCTGGTTAAAGGAATTTGGTGTTCCCTTCAGTCCTGAAAATATGTAAACTTCTTTCTCTGATTTTACTGAGATGTAGGATGTGTGTGTGTTTGTATATGCACGCTAGTCTGTATATAAGCAAAAAGCAGTAACTGAAAGGAGTTGCACAGAAGTAACTATTGAATTGGTTTATAGTATTTGTTAGATAAGGAAAGTGCATTTAAATATTTATAGTCGAGCAGTGGTGGTGTCAGTCCTTCATTTTCTCCAGCCCTGGCAGAAGCGGGTAAAGATGCTCATGTTCCAGGGGTGCAGGTGCTTCCTAAGCTCCATTTGGGGAGCAGTCTCCTGGGCAGGACAGGAGCTGGAGTCCGGCTGTGCTTGTCCGCAGCTCCCGAGTGCTGAGCTTAGCTCAGAGCAGGAGCCTCTCCGAAGCCTCCTGGAGTTATTGTTATCACTGGGAAACATCTCATCCCTGTCAGAGACACTAGATGCATTCGTTGTAGGAACAGCAGGAAATGCATGATCTCCTTGCCCCTCAGCTTGCCCCGTCTGAGCCCSCAGTGAGCATTTGCTTCCGTGCCTCTGGTGTGAGGTTCCCGAGGCTGCAGGAGGCTCCCGAGGCACGTCCTCGGCTCCTCGCCGTGTCCCAGGGCTCAGCAAAACCCCGGGGAAAACGTCTGTCCTCTCCTGATTTATCTGCTCTATCCCTCATGGCTCATAGAGGGGCTTGTCTGTGGTTTACCATGAGCTATAAAAATACCTTGCAAATCAGGAGGCTGACTGGTTTTGCTGCTATTTGCTCTGCCACATCACTGACATCAGTGCTTTGGATTCCTTGCAGTTTTGCAATTTTCTCTTGGTTTCCTTTTTGAGCACTCTTTCCCCCTCATCTTCCCAGCTCAGCCGCTCTGTAAACATCTGAGTTTTGTTGCATTTTTTCCCTGTTTTGTGTCAGAGAGATTCATTGTTGAGTTTGCATCCTAAATTTGAAACATCGAATATTTGTWGCTTGTAACAGACACGGCTGTTCTCAAGTTTCAGATGTTCTGTTTTTCTTTCTGTGTGTTCTTCACTGGAGGCTCTTAGCTTTTGATTTAGGAAGGGCTGTTTTCTGTGAGAGGAAATTCCTCCGCTGCAGCTGTACTGTTCAAGGCATGGGTTGTTGTGTCTGGAGAATAGCAGGTACAATCCTCATATGAACGGGTTGGGATTAGAAGAGGAGGAATGAAGCTTAGAACATATAGCAGTGGCGCAGATGGAAGAGTAAGTTTCAAGCATACAGGTGCCAGTAAGCCCTTCACATAGGAAGAAATCTGACAGCTATTTACTTGCAGCAAGCAGGGAGGAGAGAGAAAAGCGAGTGTATGAAGATATAGACCTCTTCCTCTCAAAAGAAGATAATGTCATATAGGTTGTGCTCTTGTTTAATAACTCAGTCTTGTGTAGATGTCATCAGTGCCCTGTTTGCGCTGGGGATAGTCAGGACAATTTGTAGGACTGTGACTTGGAGCTAAGGGAGTGACCGTRGGATGGGCTGGGAAAGTGGAGCTGGGGCATCTCTGAGCTGACGAGGCCGCGCAGCTGCGTCCCATGAGAAGTGTAAGGAAAAGCTTTTTATTTGGCTCTTGTTCCTTTTAGGTCAGCACTGTGGCTGCAGGCTTATTTAGCATTAACAGGAAGCCTCTAGGAACCAATCCTACAGCAGCTGAGTGGTAGGAGAGGTAGTGGCTCTGTAGGACTTGCTCTGAGGAGAACTTGGGTTGGAATCTTTGCTATTTGTATTACTTCTCTGCCATCTCTGTCCTTCAAAGTCATCTGTCTCCGAAGTTTATCTTCTTTGGAAGTGATTGGTTCTTTCCATGTATAGTCCCTTAGTTTTCCAGGTCTTTCACCAGTGGATTTTCCTAGGGCTGCTGCCTTTCACTGCGCCTTTGAGGAGGGGATCAGCTGTAAACAAGGTGAAAACCAGCTCCAGTGCCAGTGCGGTGCCCAGGCCTAGTAGTGGCACCACAGCCGCCTTCCTGGTGAATTTGTAGGGAGTGGGCCCTTGGGGCCAGTACGTGTTGGGCACCGGGGGTGCCTGCTCTCCGYGCAGCGCCGCTAGCACCGTTCCAGCGGCCTCCACACGCTGCCGTTGCTCCCGTCYGGGAGCAGTGAATTATTCTGCGCTGCCAGACTCATCTCGTTGGTTACGCAGAGCTTGAGCACCCTGTTTTCCTGCTAAATGAGAACAGAGCAGAAGTRTGTTGTGGTTAGCAGCATTCAGATACTGCTCCACTTCTTGTGGGGACCTTCAGTGCCACCAGATCCAGCGTGGCTGGGGGCTCCCTTCGCCAATCAGCTCCTGCTGTTTGTGGTCCTGGTTTGGTTGGGCTTGCTGCTATAAAACTTCTGCCTTGTAAAGTAAATTTCTCCTGGGGAGCCCAGCAGTTTAGTACATGWTGCTGGCTGGGAGTTCATCTACATGTTCTCCTAGTGCCCTGGACACCTTTTTCCTAAAAGATAGTGGTGAACGCTTTGCCTGGATTTTTGCCATCACTCTTTGCATGCACTTAGGCTCCTTGTGAAATGCACCCAGCAGCTTAGCATGGGCAAGGTCACAGCCTGACCTGAACTCTGAGCAGCTCTTTGCAACCACACCCTCCAGAAAAGCACGCTTTTCGGAAAGGAGCAGCTCTGTGCTCGCCCTGGGCACGTGGGGTCTTCCCAGTCCCCCTTCCCTTGAGCACTAGCTCTTGGTCAGGGTGGTTTTCCAGCTGCTCAAAGCTTTGCGCTGTGCCCGCCTGGCCCGCGGGCCGGCAGCTGCGCCCAGGAGCAGTAGCAGAGCCCCCAGAAGGAGGATTTCCACCTGGCACAGAGATCCTGGCTTTTGGGGACTGCTCCTCCCCAAATAGCACCTTCATCCGTGTCTGGGACGTGGGCAGGCCGGCCCGCCCGCACTCCCKGGTGGGGCTGCTGCGGCCCTGCTTCGGCCAGGCGCTGCTCGCTCTGCTGGTGTCCCGCCCATGCAGGTGTGTGGCCACCACGGCTGTTCCCTCAGGAGCCCTTAGCCTGGCTTGCCAGCTCCTTAGGCCCTCCTCTGTAAAGCTTGGTCTGGCAAGCAAGTTCTTCCCCCTGGGGCTGGTGTGTTGGCCGAACACCTGCCCCTTCCGAAGCTTGCCRGCTGTGCTACACGTTAATGCCAGAGCGCACAGAGCCCTTCCTAGCTCACTGGGCCTGGCCTGGCCTGGGCGGGAYCTGTGTGCAGCACAAGGGGAAAACAATCTCGTTAACAAGAACGGAGGACCTGTGTCCATAGGAGAGGGGCTAGGAAGGACAGCAGCTCTTTCTTGTTGGGCTTCTGTGTTTCCATCCCATTTTCCCACAGTGGTTTGGTACCACATTCCCTTCACTCCTAGCACAGGGCGGGATGGACTTTCACCCCCATCCGGGTAACGTTTTACGTCTATTACAACATCCACTTCCTGTCTCGTCTTATTCAGAGCTCTGTGATTCCAAGGAAGAACATTCCCCTCGGTGGAGCCGTGCGCAGCTCCACTCCTTTCCACTGCCCTAGCGAAAGTGAAGCCCGCATTCAGCTGCCAGCAGCCCTGTGCTGACCCCTCCTCCAGAGTTACAGTCTCTTCCATGGAAGAGGTGGAGCTTGAACTCCTGTGCTCCTGGAAACCCTTTTCTATTGGGAAGCACCTCACAGGAAACGGGTGTTCTTGCAGTCAGAGCCAGCCTCTCCACTCCCTGCTGCAGAAGGAAATCTGCCCCAGCTCCTCCTCAAGCAGAAGCTAATCAGCTTGTGGCAAGTGGAACGGAGCTCTGAAAGACTGACCACAGAGGGGACTATCCTATTAATGGCATGTCAGCCTGCTTAGCGTTTTCCTGAGGGAGCTGGCTGCTCTGGACTCTAGTTTAGAGGAAGATTGAACGCGAATGGTAAGAGCAGAAATCTGAGTTTTCTCAGCTGGGCATTGAGGAAACCAGCACCTGCTGCAGGTGAGCAGGGTCCCACGGCTTTGGAGTACGCGTGCCCGTGTGAGCATGCCTCGCGTGTGTCCCGGGAGCCCTCGCCGTGCTCCGCCGACTGCCTGGGTCTGCGCCGGYGTCCAGGTCCCTGCTGCAGAGCTGCCCTCAGGGGAAATGTGCCCATGTTGCCATCGGAAGTGCTGCACCCATCGCTTGAGAAACAGTAGTTACTAACTGGTGATTCACCGCAGCCCGTGTCAAAGGAGAGAGGAAGGTTCAGATTAGGGTAATATCCTCACTTCCACAGTGCTTGCGTGGCCTGAGGCAGCGACAGCTGTGATGGATCGAGGACTGTGGATCTGCGGGTGCTCCCCGTAGCGGGGAGAGCAGCTTCTCATCGCTGAGGGGCAGCAGAGGTGACATTTTGCAGCACGTGGCAGCCTGAGGGACACTTCTTCATTAGCACCCTGTGATTTAGCACTGAGCTGCTCGGGAGCAGAG